TGCTTTTATTCCTTTTCTAAAGGACAAAAAAATTGCCTTATACATTTCTTAAAAAATAATTTTGTATTAATACAATATTGTGTATAAAAGCTGTACAAATAGAATACGCTTCTGACTTCTTCTTCAGCAGCTCCTGGCGAGGATCAGCCAGACGTCAACGTGGTGCTGTCAGCTTACAGTCAGCAGGGAGACCCCGCACTGTATGGGGTTTACTACAGTGGCCTGAAGAGGTTCATAGAGTCGGTTTTGGACTGTCACCGAGCAGAACTGTCCCAGGTCTTCTACCCACTGTTTGTCCACATGTATCTGGAGCTGGTGTACAACAATCACGAAAATGAGGCCAAGGTTTTCTTTGAAAAGTGAGTTTCTTTGACATACTGTATCTCAATCCATCTACAAACAGTTCACTTGATTTTGTTTTTGGTAACATTAAATCCCGCACACTTGAATAACCCTACCTCTTTTGTTCCTCTCCGTCTCAGGTTCAGTGGGGACCAAGAGTGCTACTACGAAGAGGACTTGCGTATTTTGTCCAGCCTGACCAAGAAGGAGCACATGAGAGGCAATGAGACCCTGCTGGACTTCCGCACCAGCAAGTTTGTGCTGCGGATCTCGCGTGACTCTTACCAGCTGCTGAAGAGGCACCTGCAGGAGCGTCAGAACAACCAGATCTGGAATATCATCCAAGAGCACCTCTACATTGACATCTTTGATGGCATGCCGCGCAGCAAGAGCCAAATTGATGCCATGTCTGGCAGCTTGGCGGGAGAGGCCAAGCGAGAGGCCAATAAGGCTAAGGTTGGATTTATACGCCGACACACATGTGATAGGATCTGTGTTTTCATTTTCTCCCTGAGCTTTTTTGTTAAGTTAATGACATATCCTTGTTTATTATCATTCAATTAGGTTTATTATGGACTGCTGAAGGAACCAGAAATTGAGCTGCCTCTTGATGATGAGGACGAGGAGGCAGAGAATGAGGAGGGTAAACCCAAGAAGAAGAAACCCAAAAAGGACAGCATGGGCTCCAAGAGCAAGAAGCAGGATCCTAATGCACCTTCACAGACTAGGTAGATACTAATTTAATATTTAATTTGAATGCAATGATTTACCCACACAGTACAAGACAGTTGATGGTGTACTTCAGTGACAGTCAACATTGTCCTTGTTGTTTAGGATACCTCTTCCAGAACTAAAGGACTCAGACAAGCTGGACAAGATCATGTACATGAAAGAGTCCACCAAGAGGATCCGCCTGGGACCAGATAACCTCCCCTCCATCTGCTTCTACTCTTTTCTCAACGCCTACCAGGTAAATAACTCTTCAACCGCAGCAATTCACAGTATGTCTAACTGGTTTACACATATAAGCTAGTGGTTGAGACCGGACCATTAATTGTAAACTGCAGTAGAATAATTTCTAATTATTCTCACACCTTTGCCCTCCTGCAGGGTCTGACTGCAGTGGACTTCACAGATGACTCCAGCCTGATTGCAGGAGGCTTTGCAGACTCTACAGTGCGCGTGTGGAGTGTCACACCAAAAAAGCTCCGCAAAGTCAAGTCTGCAGCAGGTACAGTGTATGATAGTTCATGACAACCTCGCTTGATGTTGTTCAGACTTACTATAACATGAATCTTTTTCCCCCTCTTCTTCTTCTTCCTCTCTCTCTCTCTCAAGACTTGAATCTGATCGACAAAGAGTCAGACGACGTGCTGGAGAGGATCATGGACGAGAAGACGGCCAGCGAGTCAAAGATTCTCTATGGACACAGTGGCCCAGTGTATGGCATCAGCTTTAGCCCAGACAGGTATAAATCATTTCAGTGTTCATTTTTATGGCTAACGTCATAAAGTCAGGATGAGCACTCAAGTGCATTTAGCCCAGGAGAAACATTTCCTTTCTTTTTCATTCATGACAGATATTGAGAAAACAGTAACAGTTTAAACATGTGTATGGACAAAATTATATATATTTAATTTGGATAATTATGGCAAGTAGAAGAGGGATTTTCTTTATGTGCATTTAAACATGACCTTCTCTTTTTGCCTTTCAGAAACTACTTGTTGTCAAGTTCTGAAGATGGGACAATCAGACTGTGGAGTCTCCTAACATTTACTTGTCTGGTGGGCTACAAAGGCCACAACTACCCAGTGTGGGACACCCAGTTTTCCCCGCATGGGTACTATTTCATTTCAGGGGGACATGACAGAGTTGCCCGGTGAGAAACTGCAGAACTCAACTGATTAGTGTGTGAAATAATACTTTCATACACAGAGTCCTTCTGTATTCTTCTGTAACGCAGAGGAAAACGTGCCGTCGATACACGGCATCTCTGTCTACAGATGTCTGTTATTGGTCTAAGTTGTGTTTTCTCCAACAGTCTCTGGGCGACAGATCACTACCAGCCCCTGCGGATGTTTTCTGGTCACCTAGCCGATGTCACTTGCACCCGCTTCCACCCAAACTCCAATTATGTCGTAACAGGGTCGTCTGATCGCACCATCCGGCTCTGGGATGTCCTGAACGGAAACTGCGTCCGCATCTTCACCGGTCACAAGGTCAGACAAGTCACTGGTGACGTGCTTTTTATATCCAGTATAAATATATAATTTGTTGTCCACAGTAATGAAATTAGGCATTTACAAACTTTTAACTTCAAAATAATCAGATTTTAGAAAGTATCATTAGTTACATTTAGTTTGGTATATGCAGAGTAGGGTATTCAGTTAGTATTCTGACATGATGCATCAGACATCAGTAAATATTGGGATCTCTAGTGATAACTTAGGCATCCGGAAACTAATAGCAAAGAAGCATGCCAATTTTACACAAATACACCGACTATACATGCTTGCGTTTACTTAGAGCAAGTAAAACTGATGGATTCTATGAAGCAAGACAGTTCAGAGAATTTTCTGTACACCCACAGAGTTAAAGATGCTGAAAATCTTCAGATTTGTACCGCAGAATTGACTGTTGCAGAGACAACCACTGAGCCAGTCTTTTAACTTTTATTTCCAGGGTCCTATCCACGCACTGGCTTTCTCTCCCAATGGGAAGTTCTTGGCTTCAGGGGCCACCGATGGCAGAGTTCTTCTGTGGGACATTGGTCACGGACTGATGATCGCAGAGCTTAAAGGCCACACAGATACCATCTACTCCCTCAAGTTCAGCAGAGACGGCGAGATCCTTGCCTCCGGTCGGTGACCAACAACATCTGAGTTTTTTTTATCACATATAAAAAAAACTTTATGTAAACAGGCAAAGTCCCATTGAGACACAGTCTCTTTTACAAGGGAGTCCTGTATAGCACAAGTAAAACACAATTTTTCAACCATGAGTTGAAAAACAATACTAGGGATGCACTGAACCTTTTTATTCATTTATTTTACCTTTTTTTTTTTGCCATTGCATAAATTAAATAGTCAAAATGTGCCATAGGATTTGGAGTGATAATGGTGCGTGGGTCTGAGTCCCAAGGGGGTCCGGTTAAGTAAATGACATGTGTCCATTTACTTTTAATGTACACATGTAATATGTTTTATACTTTGTGAATAATCCAATTAATCTTATTTCCTTACTGTATAGACACCTTATTTTGAAAACCAGACGTTGTCGTACCCAATTTGATAAATAATGTTGTATGTGGTTCTCGTATCGCGTAACATGAAGACTTCATAGCCTGTCTTCAGGTAGGACTCTCATACTGCAACACTTGTCTTTGTAAAAAGAGAAAATGACAGGATAAAGTCGCTAACCTGCCTGTCAGCTCGCTCTGGTCAGTTTCAGTGGATTTACCATAAAGGACTGAATACGTGTGCACTCCAGTTTAGGTGCGGCTAGCTTAATCTCCTCAGAAACGAGTGACAGACACTCAAAGCGGGTCAGACCGTTTGTTGCCTTTTCGAAGAAGTCCGCCACAGATGGAGTGGATGTGCTAGGAGACAATTCAGCAGAACAGTGTCTGAAAATGGCGATTTGTGTGTCTTTCTCTGACACTTAAATGCTTCCACTCTGCCAACATGTCAACGTAAAATTTGTTTGGTCTTTTGACGTATTAGCCTGAACACCGAAAATGCTTTTTTTTGTTGCAATTTTCGGCCTTTCAATTTCGGTGGCCGAACAATCGGGGCATCCCTGAATTACGTTAGTTAAAATACAATTTTACACAAAATATTTATATAGACAAACAAAATGCAATGAGTTAAATATGTAAACAAACAAAATTAAGACTAAATGTAGAGATCTAACTACCGTTAATTAAAAACAAGTGCATATGTGCGTTAGAATCAGTGGAGTATTAATATAACTGTTAAACTGAATGTACTTGTAGCCACATCTGCTATACTTAAAATCTGATTTAGAGAATGATGAAGTATAAAGACCCTATACAGTAGTGACAATGTTGTCTTTCCCCCCCCCCCTAGGCTCCATGGACAACACTGTTCGTCTGTGGGATGCTATGAAAGCATTTGATGATTTAGAGACTGATGATTTCACAGCAGCTACAGGACACATCCATCTACAAGATAACTCCCAGGAACTTCTGCTGGGCACCTACATGTCTAAATCCACACCTGTAGTACACCTTCACTTCACCCGCAGGAACCTGCTGCTGGCTGCCGGGGCCTATAATCCATGAGACATTACTGAATTGTGAGAAAATCTATAGAAACTTGAAACTTCTCCACAAGTAATTTAAGAGGTTTTGGTGCAGTGAGAACAAAACTATATTATCAACAAATCACCTGAACATCTAGCTGTGAATGATAAAAAAAATTAGCCAACTCCTGTTATGGCCTTCAGTCTGACAGGTTCAGGTCCTAAATCAAACTGATCTCCTCACCTGAGAAGAGTGCCATTGTTGATTAGTTTGTTTTGTGTTTTTTTAAATCACTGCCATCAGTACAGCTTTGTTCAAACACGTGGCTGACATTTATGTATCATAGTCTTTTATACTGGTGTACACTGTAAATAAATGAAACATGTTTTCTATGTTTGGGACATAAATGTTCTTTATTGTTAATATCAGGAAACCAAACAGTCATATTTTATTACATGCACATCCAGCTGCCTTCTCCATTCCCAGCTGTTAGAAATGATGGTCAAAATGGACACCTATAAGGAGACAATAAGGACCTTGAGTTAACTGAATGGAGCACTACTTTGCTAAAGTACAGTGAATGTGGAAACTAATAGGATGGAGAGACTTTAATGCACTTACATTATCACTTGTCTGTGACAGCAGCCTGTTTCTTGGGCTTCAATTTGAAGAAAAGAGCAATGGCTGCAATGCTGGCATATGTGGCCAAAACACACTAGAGAGGGAGAAAAAAAAAAAAAGCATGATAAGAAATTCACGGATGCACGACAGTTTAACTGTCGAGTGTGAAAGTGCAGTTTTATGGTTAAATTGCACAAAACTCACATTCCTCCTTCCTGTGATTGTGTATGCATTGAAGTACTTAGCAATCCCAGTGAACTGGTGCTGCGTGCCGGCGTCATGTCCTCCCATGATGGATTGTTAATGGTCCTACCACAAGGAGAATAAAACGTGGTTAATGAGAGAGTTCATTTTTGACCTTGGGAACATCATGTGTGACGAGAAACTCTGGAGCTTAAACTCTTCTATGGTAGTAACTTGAAGAGTGTCTGGATTTAAGACTATTGGTTGGAAAAACAAAGACATCTGAAGACGTCACCTTGGACTTGGCAAACTGATGGATATTTTTCATTTTAAAGACCACATATCGAGAAATAATCAGCAAGGTACAGGGAAATAATAATAATGAAAAATATTACAACCTATTCTGAATTAGTACTAGTCACAGAACAGTACTTAATTTTACGCTGTTTTCACAGGAGGAGTGTGGGGAAAAGTAGTAAAATAATACTTAAAGAAGCTCTTCAGAATTTCCGTATTTTATTTTAGCCAGCAACACAAAAAACTACATAGGATATTACATAGGATAAGTGTGTAGTGTGTAGTATTAGTGTGCAGGTTAATGGAGCTTGGCATGCTAAGTTACCTCAATAAAATCTAAGATGACAAGCTTCAGCGCAATAACGTTAAGTTACCCCAACATTATGTCTTGCTGACAGGTAAGCACTCTTAAAATTTAGTAACGTTGTGGTTGACAAATACACTAATAGTGGGCATTTCATACACACTGACTTTCATCGGTCAGATCCCGCATTAGCTTCTTAGCTAGCACACTCTATAGTAAGTCTATAGTAAGTTAACGTTAGCTTGCTAGGCTAGCCTGCTAGCTAGTTTAATTTTCAGACCGTTAGCTAAATAGTACATTGTCACAGAGAAGTTTTAAAGATAACACGGATAGTACTCGACATTGCTGAAATCAACGTGAATGTGCTAATTCGTTTCTAAATGTCTTACCTTTAACACACGACCCCTATGGAAACAGTATGAGACAAGTGTCCTTCAGCAGAGGCCGCGATGCTATACTCACACGGAAATCCCGCCTACTCTTCGCATCACAAAAGTGTGACAGTATTGGTCCAAAAAAACGTCATTCAAAGTTAGGGTCTCAAACGACCGCTTTAATGGCTAACGAGCGTGTCAATCATTCTTTCTTGTCTGTGATTGGACAACAACTAAAACGCCCATGTGGGTTTTTCTTCCGGGTTGAGATAATGGCGTGTTGCTGAACAACATGTGAGTTTTGGTATTCACAAGCCGGAGATATAATGTAAGGAAACATTTCATGATAAATACTGAAGGACAATTTAGTATATGTTTAAATCAAAACCGAGTTTGTCCCTATCAGAATAGGCATTTTGTCTGTTGGAAATCGTCTTTTGTGAGTAGCCGAGTGCTAAAATAGGTTACAGGTAGCTAATGTTGTCTTGTGCATTTTGAGGGGTAACTTTATGTACTGCAGTATTACAACTGATCCAAGTGGACCTGGTTATATATTTTCCAGCTAAAATCGTTATATGTGCATGTGATTAATCAGCCAATGTCTCATTAGAGAGCCAGTCTGCTGTTTGTGGCTCATCATTGTTTTCACATTTGAGACTTTGAGACGTTATCCATCTGAAACACTGTAATGAATCTGAATCAGGTTTATTGCCACTTACATTTTCATCTACGAGGAATTTGCCTTGGTATAGTGGTGTTTCACAGTAAGCATACATAAATATAACGTTATATATTGAATATAGAAATAATGTGTACTAACTAAGTCTCAAATGTGAAAACGATGATTGAATTACACGAGAGGCAGTACTTTCCTACCTCCATTCGTCACAAAGCATAATTTAAATGTTTTATCAGCAGCATGTTACGAGTCTTTTTTTGAATGCTTGGTTTTCTTAGACATCTGAAACAACATAAAAACATGGCATCTGTGGAGGAGGACTTCCCTCGAGGAGGGGCATCAAAGAAGGCCACTGAGAGTAAAATAATGGTGCAGAGGACAGAAGTGGACAACTTGTTCCAGGTAGAGCTTCACTCTTTTCTATATCTTTACTTAACTTTACTTTTTCTGTACACCTCACTGAGCATTGGGAAAAGACTTCATAGAACATGTAATATGACTAGCCTCAAAAAGATTATCATCTAGTATTCTTCTAATTCACATTAGTGCACTACTTAAGTGGGCATCAGCTGTTCTAAATCTACCCTTTAGTTAACTTGTGTTTTGTACACTCACTTTAGAGGGTATGTGTAAAATGCCCTCTTTAGTTAACAGTATTTTGCTTTTCTCTTGCAGTCAAACGAGCAAGCAGAAACTAAGAAAAGAAAGGGGGCAGTCAGAGATGACGGCAAGAAGCTCAAGAAGCCAAAGACGGTCAAAGACAAAAGTCTGACGTTGAATGCAGCAGCCAAGTGTGTGGAAATTCTACACATCAAGGTAATACACTGTTTATAAATTGTGTTACATGTTTTAAGTAGATTCACTTTCTCAGTAGAGTTATTTTCAGTGTAACACTACTGTGAGTCAAAGGGGTATTTAGCGCAGAATTATAATTACTATCATTATATCTCTAAAGTGCTCATTCATACAGTAGCCTAACGTCCCTATCCATTAGTAAAATCTATATATTAACATCAGATTTGCAGGGTATATATTGAAGTAATAAGCTTAACAGATTAAATGAATAAAACACACTCTTATTAAAATTCAACCAATTTAATAATAATCTTGATAAAGCCACCAAGTTCTTAAAAGAACTACAGCACAGAGAGAGGAACAAAGAAATAAACACATTATATAAACACAGCAGTTTGGCAGGTCTGGATGCAGAATGGGCCACATCATGTCTGGATTCTGCTGACGGAGAGAAACAAACATGAGCACATCGCTCTCAAACACTGCCAGGTTGTTCACAAGTCAAGAGCTGCAGAACAACAGCACGCCTCTGTTGATAAATAAAAAGGACAAGTTACGGTGCGTTCCCTGGCGGACCTGGATCAGCTGTTAGCTGTAAACACACCACAGGGCTAACGTTAAAGTTGCTATGTGGCTGTGTTTTAATGTTTTAATGGCCGGGTCTGTTTGTTTTGGAGAGGAGGTGACCTCGGAGATAATTCGCTCCCGGTAGAACCTTGTCAGGGCTTTGAAGTGGAGCGGACCCAGAACAATCAGCTGTTAGCTGTAAACACTAGCAGGACTAAAGTTACGGTACGTCAGTCCAGTGACTGTTGACCTGACAACCGACTTGCCTTTCATTCGCCGGCACTGGCAGTAACTCAGCCTGCCGAGTGAACGATAGACTCCGAGGACCCATGTGAGTGGTGAACGAGTAGTTCATTCCTGCTCCACGGTAGCCGAGATGTCACGTGACAAATGGCCGACTCAAACCCAGAGACCCACAGTTGAGAGTTGTGAACTAATCAGTTCTGTTTCCTGTGCTGACGGAGCCCATGCAGCGAGTGAACGTAAGAGTCAACACTATTTACGCATGTGTGAAAATGAACAAATTACTCACCAGACTATTCATTCCTCCTGTCATATACAAGATTAGGTCAAATAAACGAAAAATTCTTTGAACAACGCAACATTCCTCTTCCTGCTACTTTAGAGAGCAGTCGTGCTTTCCCTACTCTCCCCTCTTATCTTGGCTTGCTCATATTTTCTGTCTACTTTGGTCGTGTGGAAACTTCTCTTTCGACCACCTGCCTGCTGTTCTCCTGAAACCATCAAAATGGAATTAATCAACTGGTCACACAAGATTTTCACCCAGAAACGTGCTTCACCGGGTGAGCCGAACTGTCCCAGTGGAACATTCGCTGCAGGCTACGCTTGCGACTCGTGGGAGACCTGGCAAACGGTTTGCTTGGATGTTTTATCTGTGGAGGACATTGAAGATTTATGGATAATTGGAATTTTGTTAGTGGGCTTCCTGATTATCGGGCTTGGAATCTCCCTAATATATCGTAAAATTGGTAAGACAGCCGCCAGTAAATTTACCCAAAAGCTGTCTGGGGAACTTGAAGAGTGCTTAAATGGGGTGAACGAAAAGCTGAAGGTTTTACATCAAAGGGCTGATCAGAATGGTGAAATGTTTCGTAACATCTCAAACCGGTATGTGGAAGCGCAGAGGAGGATTGACACCTTTGGGGCGCAGTCTGGTGAGCTGCTGAGAGTAACCACTGGTCTGACATTGAAATTAGAAGAAATGTCGAAATCACTACATGAACTGGATGCACGTATGACGCTGAGGATGAGAGCGATTGAAAGACACTGATCTGGATAAATGTTACCGAATCAACCAAAATTGGATTAAAAATGATTCCCCTCCTCCACCCCAGTGGGAAACTGCCTCAAAACTGCCCTCTTTATTTCTCTTCCTCACATGTCACCTCAAAAAACCCCACCATGTGACCGCATGTAATGTGTGTTGTCTTGTGTATTATTATGTATTGTTATGTCATGTATACTATGTTGCTGTCTGCATTAATTCTTTTCTGGAAAGCGAGTGGCGGTGCTGAATATAGCTGCGGCCCGGAGGCTTGCTCCCACAGATACAAATTTCACTGTGTACTTGTGCATGTGTGACAATAAAGCTACCTATGAACCTATGAACACTATGCAGTATCCGACATGATATTGTTTTGTGCATTTCCCAGAATATTAAGGAGGGTATGCTGATGCTGGGCTGTGTGAAGGAGGTAACAGACTTTGAGGTGACAGTCGGCCTGCCTTGTGGCCTGCAAGGCTTCCTCAGCATCAAAAACATCTGTGACTCGTACACCAAGCTGCTCACCGAGTTGCTGGATTCAGCTGATACAGAGGTAAGCCTGCAGAGTGATGATTTAAATGTACTGCAGAAGGTGCCAAAGGCTTGTTGTAGCGGGCCGTATCATTGATGATGTAGAATGCACGAGTCCACACTCGACAGTTTTCTGAAAATCTGAGTTCCATTTTACATCAATGTCTTTGTATAGGAGTATTTTTGTGTGCTCTGTCCTTTTTGGTTTTCTTGGATCTGTGGTTTTTCATTAGCCTTTTTACTTCCCAGGAGATCTGCTCTCTGCCACACCTCTTCTACACTGGCATGGTGTTCAGGTGTGTGGTTGCCAAGTTGGATGTAGCCAAAGGAGGCTCTCTTAGCATACAGCTGTCAATCAATCCAAAGCTGGTCAACAAGGGACTCACCTCAAGTTCTCTGAAAGCTGGCATGGTGAGTCATTAATGAGCATCTTCAGTTAAATAGGATGGATTTGAAGTTTGGTTGAAAAGTTTTTAAACGGCCAGCTTTCTTTTTTTTCTTTTTTCTTAATCCAGAAATTTATTGTAACGTTGTTTTCAGGTCTTGAGTGGATGTGTGGAGAGTGTGGAGGATCATGGCTACATAGTTGACATTGGCATCAATGGAACCAAAGCTTTCCTGCCTAAGAAAGCAGCAAAAGACGCGGAAGGTATGACACAGTATTTTAGATTGCCTATCATTTGCTAAGGAAATAATCTCAGTCAACTGCCTCTTTCTGATACAGAGTAGGGATTTGCTCCACCTGGGCCATGCAGTTGTTTTCAGTCCATCATTCATCATACATTCAATACATTTCTCAAGCATGTGTGTGTATGCTGTCCTTTGTCCAGAGCTGAAAGTGGGTCAGTATGTGAGTTCTCAAATGGAAGAAGTAAAGAATGATGGCCGTGTAGTCCGCCTTTCTGTCAGCCCCTCGACTGTCGCCCAGGCCTGTGCTGAATCCAAGCAGGGCTGGAACCTCACTAACCTTCTGCCTGGTCTTCTGGTCAAAGCCACGATCAAAAAGGTACAGACGACTTTTATTTTGGTAATGCTGTTGAGCCTTTTTTTATATCTGATAATTTTAAAACATCTTCTGTTCATACACTATTGCCGTCATTACAGTTGCTATCACAACTTCAGTAGTAGCTGTGTTTCATTATAATAAAGCCTACATGTTTGTTTTTCAGGTGACCAAACATGGTCTGATCCTGGACTTCCTGTCCTCCTTTAGCGGCCAGGTGGACTTTCTCCACATGGAGCCAGAAGAGGCATCCAGCTACATCGAGGGAGCTGAGGTAATGTTAATGGTTTTCAGTGTGTTTATGTTGGAGTATAAACTTAGCAGCCTAACGCTCTTCTGCATCTATCCACTCAGGTGCGAGCCTGTGTGCTGTATGTGGAGCCATCCACCCGTCTGGTGGCCCTGAGCCTGCGCAGCTACCTCGTCCAGCCCGGGACCAGAGTTGACCCCTCTCCTGCTGGTGGTGACCGCATTGGTGAAGTGGTGACGGACTGCAAGATGACCACTATGCACCACATGTCAGGAGCCATGTTGGAACTGCCAGACAAAACGTTGGCCTTTGTACATGTGAGTCGGGGCGATGTTTTAAAATATTTCAACCTACTTTGACTTAAGAAGAATAAATGCTATAAAAATGTAAATATCCTGCTGACTCAGCATTGGGGTTTATCTGTACTTCTCAACAGAGGAACCACCTGAAGGAGTCTAATGAGCCAGCTAATGAAAACAGAGTGCTGGCCATGTCTGAACACACCTGCAGGATCCTGGACTTCAGCCCCATGGACCAGATTCATTTTGTTAGTCTGCGCAAGTATGTGAGACCTCATTTATGTGTCTTATTCCATAAACACGGACCTCACTGTTGTAATTTCATGTACTAATAATCTTTTGTTTTGCCTTGATTTCAGGAGTGTGATTGAGAGGCCTTTTTTTAGATATCAGGATCTTCAGGCTGGTCAGTATGTTGAGGTAAGAATAAAGCCTCACCACCTATCCAAGTACCGTGTCACACACGTGACTTGGATTTAGCTTTTTAAAAAATCTGTCAAAGCAACACACGGTAGTGATGAGAATTATAGCATAGAGTGCCATAGAACTGACTTGTTTGAGACACAAAACTAACACACAGCATTTTTCCACTTTGAAAGAATAAACTTGTCAAATCATACAATATGACATCAGAAAGCTAAGCCCTCCTTTATCATTTTGGGTCTTGATTTTCGATTCTTTCTTTAGACTGAGAGTATACCAACACCACAAATGTATCTAGGCAAATATTTTCTTTTAAAGTCTCTGGTTAAGAGGGCACATTCTCTATTCTCTATTTTTTTCACAAAATATTTCTTCAAAGACCTCATCTTGTCAGTTAGATTAGATTTTCTTTTAAATAGTTACATTTCTTAAGTACATTTCCCCCATTAAACTATTAATGGAGACACTTCCTGGCAGATGTTAAGGCTTTGGGTTGTTATCTGCCAAATTTAAAATCTATATGGCAGGGAGGTATATACTGTTTTATATATATATATATATATATATATATATATATATATATATCTCAAGAGAGAGAGATACTTTTACTGAAGAACTCCAATGCAATAATTTAAAATAGAGATGTTGCCTAGAGGCAGTTTGGCTAACTGTAAATTTCAGTTTAACCACCTTGTCTGATTATTTTATTTTCCTCTTTATTTAGTGTTTTTGTCTCATCCTGCTCTGTTTTTATTGTCTGTCTCATGTCTCTCCTTCCAAGGGGACAGTGTCGGTCCTGCTGAATCATGGCATGGTGGTGCATTTGTCTGACCACATTAAAGGCCTGGTGCCCCGGACCCACCTGTCTGACATCCTCCTCAAGAACCCAGAGAAGAAGTACATGGAGGGCATGAAGATCAAATGTCGGGTCAGTCCAGTTCTCTACTTTGTTTTAAAGCCACTGAGAAGACCGCAAGAATAAGATCTGTAACCTGAAGTTTCAACTGTCTGGCAGATTAGCGAATCATCTTTCATATTCCTTTCCTCTGTGTTTGTGTGTTAATATGTTCCTCCAGGTGCTGTCAGTAGATGCAGAGAATAAGAAGCTGTACCTGACCAGAAAGAAGGCCCTGGTTGAAAGCTCCCTGCCATTGTTCCTCAGCTATTCTGATGCCCGTCCTGGCCGCGTGTCCCATGGTTACATCGTCTGCATCAAAGACTTTGGTTGCATCGTCCGTTTCTACAACAACGTCAAGGGTCTTGTGCCTGTCAATGAGCTCAGCTCAGAGCCCATCATCAGTCCTGAGGACATCTTCTATGTGGGTCAGGTGAGCAGATCAAACATCATGGACACGGAGGATCAAGTTACTGATGATGGTCTGAGGGTTTTTGGTGTCTTTGTTCACGATGATTAGGAACCATTATAAACAATCCTTTGACTGTGAATTATTTGGCTTGATTGTCCAGGTGTTAAAGACCAAAGTTCTTCAGTGTGACCCCGACAAGGCGAAGATGGTGCTTTCATTTAAAGCGGCGGTGGAGGGAGACACTGAGGAAGCTGCCAAGCCCCACTTTGACTGTGAGGTGGGGAAGGTAAAACCTCAGGCCTTTCTTTCTTTTATATTTACATCTTTATATCTTTATTCATCTATATATCGATAAAGAGATATCAAGGTAGTTTATTTATTTATCATTATACAACACAGCGTTGTCTAACGGAAAGAAAGTTTGTAGTCCCTAAAGCTACACACAAAAAGATATTAAAATATGGTAACACATACAATAAATAAAACGATACATACAGTTATTTATATACATAAAAACATACATGTATACACCCAGAACATGCTGCAGTGTATTTAGATGTAGTGCATTAGATATAAATATAGAGCTAGATAGATTCATCTCTAATTTTATTTTGTATTTTTGACCTGAACATGTGTGTTTGTGTGATGTAGAGGCTACAGGCCAGGGTGCTAAAAAAGTCAGTCAACGGTCTGGAGGTGGCCATCCTCCCTGATGAGATCCGTGCCGTACTACCCACAGTGCACCTTTCTGATCACATGTCCAACTGCCCTCTGCTGTGGGAGAGCCTGCAGGAGGGAGACAACATCTCGAACCTCATCTGCTTCAGCAAGAACAAACAGAATATCGTATCCTGTGTATTTAAAAAGTCAGTAGATTTTGTATGAACTGAAAACCCTACTTTGATTGCTTGATTCTGTATAGTATGAAAATTTTTTCTGGTCTTTGATGTTTATCGGGAAGTAAATTTATACATTTCCTAATATGAAAAGCAGGAAAGTTGTCTCTTTTCCTTAGCCGCTTGCCTGTTAAAGATCCTCACCAAGAAACCAACAGTGAGATGGTCAATGGAGGAAGGAGTGGTTGCCAAGGATTTCTCTGAAATCACGGTTGGAATGCAGCTGATTGGCTGGATCAAGAACATCATGTCCTATGGCGTCTTTGTAGAGTTCCCCTACGGCCTTGTTGGTCTTGCACCCAAGTCGGTGAGTAAAGGGCAATGTGTTGTATTTTCAAACCTCAAATTCTCTTCCTCTAAGTCATTTATCTATTTTCCCTACTAAAATTCGTCCTCTGCTCTGCTTATTTTTATTTTTATTTTTCTTAAGGCCATGACCGACAAGTTCGTCAGTGATGCGACGACTGCCTTCCAGCTGGGCCAGACGGTGTATGCTAAAGTGACCAACCTGGATGAGGAAAAACGTCGTTTCCTGGTCACGCTGAAGATTTCAGAGGTCATATGTCCAGAGGGTGATGCCCAGACGAGGCTCATTAATGGTCTGCAGGAGAGAAGAGCTTTGACTGAAATGTTAGCTATGAGAGGTATGATTATGTTGGTCTGTCTGCGTAGATTGTTTGTGATGAATGCCCACATAAATAAGTAGTTGCAGCATGGAAGTAGTTTCAATAAAAATATAGATATTTTGATTCTTTAATTCTTCATTTGAAGTTTGCCTTCAGTGTGTAACCTCTCCATCTCTGTCCTTACTCTCAGAAAACAGTGATCTTCGGCAGCAGCTGGCTGCTCTGTCTGTTGGTCAGAAGCTGAAGCTGACTGTAGATACTGCGAAGGACAGCAGTGCCACCTTTAAGTCAGATGATTTGGTCAGTGCTACCATACTGGCCACCAAGCACCATGTCATGGGTATGCATTTACATATCACATTTTGCAGGAATTCTTAAATGTTTCACTCCTCCGTGACGATAACAATACATTTTGCTGTCAAGTACATTTCTTGCAATGTCTTGACATGCACAATATCAGCAGCCTGGTGTCAGGTTTTTCATAGTGTGATAATGTGGTAATTGATGCCACTGCATTATTGAACAGAAATGTTACCCTGTAATGTGTTGCTTTTTCATCTCTGATTCGACAGTCATTTTACTTTTCACCTTATTTATACCAGTAACTTTATGTAAGTGATTGCATTTTCTGTTGGCTGCAATGTTTCCAGGAGTTAACTTGACCCCAGGACAGAAAGTTACTGCGGTCGTCCTCCATGTCGACATCCTCTCAACACGTGTCCACGTATCCATCCTTTCCAAGCTGGTGGGGAAAAAGAAATCTGTGAGTATTACTTGTCATAACGGCATTTTGTTGTTTCAAAACAATGACTTTTCATGTGCTGTGGGATTTCTCAACACTGCTTTTTCTGGAGCAGCCTGATATCCCATATATTTTCATTTGTATATTCACAGTTAACTGAAGGATCAAAGTACACAGCGACGGTGCAGCACACCGACAAAGACTTTGCTGTCATCTCACTGGCTGATACGGCACAGCTGACTGTGATCCAAACTAGCAGCCACCTGAATGAGATTTTTCTGTCCGAGTCAGAGATGGTGAAGGCGGGGATGAGTTTGGCCGTTGAGGTCATAGAACCCAGCTGTCAGGAAGTGCAGGGGCTGCCTCTGGTGTCGTGGGCGCGCAGTGGACCAAAACGACAGCGCACCACCTCTGAAAACCAGACGTCCTCTAAGGGTCACCGCTTTGGTGAAATCGTGCAGGGTAAAGTGCGGACAGTGAAGCCTACCTCCATTCAGGTCACACTAGAAGATGGAAGCACAGGCAGCGTGCACGTGTCTGAGGTGGTGGAGGTTTCAGAAGCATGTCAGAGATCCTTCCCCACATCCTCCGTTAAAGTGGGCAGTGTGGTCACCGCCAGGGTCATCGGGGGACGAGAAGCCTCTAGTCACAGGTATGTACTGCTGGAGGGTCTCATTTTGCATGTTTGATTGGAAATTTCTTTAGTAACTTCCTACTCCTGTCCTGTTGTTTTTATTTCATTCTTAATCATAAAACCACTGTTAAAGTGTAAAAATCAAAATGATGATTTTCTATTATTTTTTGAATTGTATTGAACCTAATATTAATCTCAGCTGTCTTATTTCAGATTCCTGCCCTTCTCCCATCCCAAATTCACATACACCATTCCTGAGCTCACACTGATACCCAGGTAATCGTATACTACAGTTCATTGTACATTGAAATAGAGCCTGACTGATAAATCAGCATGCTGATATTATCAGCTGATAACGAGCTAATTGCAGAAAAAATGACAATTCAAAAAGAAACGCAACATGGCTCCTTCAATCGAATGTTGTCGTTGCATAGTTTGTCCACCAGAGGGCAATCTGAAACTCCCCCTGTTGGACACGTTTAGAACGCCACAAAACACAGCAATCAGCAAAGTACTTTTATAACAATAAAAAAAGTTTAAATAAACTGCATTATGTCTTGTTATCTATCTACACATGTGTTGTGTTTGTGTGGGATAATCTTTATTTATGTTATGTGTCTTTTAAAAAGAATATTGGCAGATATATCAGATTTTAAAGTCCTCAAATATCAAAATCGGTATCGGTCTTGGCCAGCAAAGGAAGTTAGTAAATTACAATAAAATATTGTCCAGAAATTGAAAAATTCTAATAATGATTATATAAACCTGTGGCGGTGGTGGTGTTACAGCTGTTCATATTTTATGTTAGGATTTGTACTTTTTATCTGTTCTTATCCAACACATTTGGGGGTTTTGTCTGTTTTTTTAGTTGTTGCTCTTTGTTTTTTTTCTCTGCAGCAAACTGGATGCGAGTGCAGATTTAAAACCAGTTACAGCAAAAGAAAAACTAAACAGCTACAAGGTCGGGGAAGAAATTACATGCTTTGTATCAAAGGTAAGTTCAGAAAATCATAATGGCTTGCAGTAGCTTCCTTTATTTCCTTCTGTTTGTTTCCCCAGAACAGTTTAGATCAGTTTAGATCACAAGTCCACAAATCAGAAATAAATCAAACAATTTTAAAGGCGCAAAACTGCATGTTTTCAGTTTGTTCATGATTCTGCCCCCAGTTTAATCCAGAGAGGAAGTCTTTGGAGGTCAGCACTGATCCTTGTGTTACTGGGACAGTTGAACTGCTGGCCATAATCACTGATCCAAAAGTAAGTTTACAGCGGAGTCCACATAATGTCAGGAGCATTAATTATATGTATTGGATGAGGCTGATCATTTTTAACATTCAAGTTGCTGGAAATCATCAGAGGTTATTGTAGCTTAAGAAAAAAATTGAAAAGTTAGATGAAGCTTAGTTTCACACAGAGGCGATTGTTTGATTTCTGCTTATTTTCAGGATGCCAGCCACCCAGAGAAGCTGTACAAGCTGGGCCAAGCTGTCCATGCCAAAGTCGTGGAAGTGAACTCCAAACCTCAACGCCTTGTGCTGTCCCTCACAGGTAGGAGAAGCTCAAACCATTTTTATTGTTTACTGCTTCTCGCCATCACATTGTACTCACTGTTTCTTAGCATTGTTATCATCACTTCTACTTGGTATCTCTTCAGATTGTTTATCAAATGCAAAACAAGACAACAGTTACATGGAAAAAAATTCTGGTTTCCTTTTTGTTTTCCAGGTGTCCATAAACTGGAGACAGGCAGTGTTACTTTGGGGATGGTGACTAATATTCAGCCACAAGTTGGCCTTCTGGTCAAACTTCCCTTTGGCGGCATGGGGACTGTTTGCGTTACTGACCTGGCTGACGCCTACAGGCCAAACCCTCTGGACGGATACAGCAAGGATCAGCTGCTCCGGTCAGTAGATGTCTTTTTAAAATGTACTGCACACAGTCTGAGGCACAGTTAGACACATATATCAGGCCAGGCTAAACAAAATGAACTGTTGGAATCATCACAATCTTATTGTCATTGTCGTAAACGTTGATTTTCCACTTTGCCCAGAATACATTTATGGGCAACACTTTAAACCCCATTTGGATTCTCTTGAAGTGTAGATTTAGAGTTTATTTTTTGCCTCAGGTGTTTCCTTCTCGGGAGTGAAAACGGCAGGTGGGCGCTGTCTCTACGTCCAACAAGGTATGAGCAAGTTTTATTGAATTTGTGAGTTTCTGTAACAGGCTCACTGCTTTATAGTACAGGTATCTTGTTATAACATGCAGGTCACAGTAACTTTGCTCTTCCAGACTGAATCCGCAGCAGGCCAAGCCAGCGAAGGACCCGGAAGTTTTGTCTGTAGACAAACTGAAGGCAGGCCAGATCATCAGAGGCTACGTCAAGTCTGTGGGAGAGCAAGGGGTCTTCATCAGGTAACTGAGAAATTTGTCCAGCACGGAAATGTAGCTCTAAGTTTCTTAAACATCAGACTGGACTGATGACAGTACATTCATATTTAAACTCTATAGAAAGATATTAACGTCTAAGTGGAACAACATGCTCCAAAAATTTTTCTGGAAAGTGTAGTTTCAGATTAGTTATTTCAGCAAGTTTCATGGTCTATGTCTTCACTCCTGTTCCTAAAGACATTCTTATTTCACATGTTTGTCTTCCAGGTTATCAAAGAGTATCACAGGAAGAGCCCAACTTCAGCAGTCTACCAAGTACTTTGTCAGCAACCACAAGGTCCTCTCTGAGCACCTGCCTCCCAACACCCTGCTCACTACCAAGATCCTCAGGTACAAAACGCACAGATTTCCCTTCTGTGGTAGTTAAGTGTTTGAATAAAGAAAGAATTAAAGGAATAAGTCGTTAAACCAGACACCAGGTCTTTTACATAAGACCGTTTTATAGAATCAAAAGTGACGTCATGTCATTTCTAGCCTGCAGCTCTTTCTATTCTTGTCCTCAGTATTGACAAAAAGGAGGTGTTGGTCAACCTCTCTCTGCTCCCAGTGGACACTGGGAAGCCAGACGTCCTTCCAGAATCTCTCGGTCTGCCGCTGCGTCTGATCGGAGAGGACAAGAAGAAACATGATACTAAGAAGAAGAAACGCACGCTGTCTGAGAGCGAAGAGGTAACAAGAGAATCAAACTTTCTTTCTTTCATTACGTCCTGATTCACATTAAATGGTGAAAACATTGTAGACGACTCACTACTCAGCCTTTTAAAGGGTAACTTAGGTATTTTTCAACCTGGCCCTTATTTATCCATGTTTTTGTGTCTATGTGACTAATTCAGACATTTTTTGAAATTGGTCCAGTATTGTACACTAAAGTGGATGTGTTTTTCCACTGACAGGCTCAGATTGTTATTATTAAGTGGCTGAAAACATTGTTGAAACAAAAATACCTACCCTTTCATAAAAACCACCAGATTCCATTGATAAAAATATTAATTTTACCTCGCAGAACACATGAGTTGCTGGTCCACTGCTGCCTTGGTTAATTAGTTTGTTTGTCAATTTTTATCAAGTGTGTCTGGTGTCTTCAATGAGAGCAATATGAGAGCAATGTTCTTTACACTTGTTAAAGCACTTTGTAACTTGTTTTTGAAAAGTGCTCTACAAATAAGGATTATATTATTATTATTATAATATAGTGAGCGATTCAACCAAAAAGCATCTTACTCTTTAAAAAAACTAAAAAAACAAAACAAATATACAATTAATCTCTGTAGTGATCCTTTCCACAATGTTGTCAGACACTTATCAATCATTAATTAGCCTTTGGTCTGGCAGTAATAAATGCTTCATTGATCTTTTAAAACTCACTGCATACACTGCAGCTTCAATTGCAGCCAGATGGTCACTGAAGCTCTTTACTGTTTTTTTTTGCCAGAAACAAGCAGAGTCCCAGGTACCAAAAAAGAAGAAGAAGAAAACAAAGAAAGCAAAGACTGATGGCAATGACAGTGGAGTGGAGGTGTTCTTCAGAGAAGAGGAGGATGAAGAAGAACCCAAATCCGATTCTGTAAAAGTAAGCAAACACACTGCAGCTCAGTACATTTTACAGTCATACAAATCTCCATAGATTTGGTACAGTAATACATTTATCAAGAACGTTTAAAAAATACATTTCCCCTCAGCAGGTGAGTCGCAACTCAGTGGGTCCTTCCAGACTGCAGGTGGCAGCAGGTTTCTCCTGGGATGTGGGACTGAGCTCCCTGAAGCCTGCTTCTGCTGCGCCGGAGGGGGACTTCAGTGACGGAGAGGACCAAGATGGAAGCAGCAAGGTGAGCTGACCACAAAGATGCATGTCTAAAGTTAGGATTATTAAAAGGAATACAACTGTCTGTCGGGTTTTTTTTTTTTTTGTATGCAGATGGTCTCTGTGAGTCTTATTGTAATTCATCAAACTCACCACTCACTTTTGTCTTGGATGTACTGCTCTCGTCAACCAGCCCCAGAAGAAGTCTCGTCATGAGCTTGAGCAAGAGAAGAAGGCAGCAGAGAAGGCCCTGGTACAGCGGGAGGCCGAGCTTATGGATCCGACCCTGCAGCCCCAGGATGCAGCTGCCTTTGAGCGCCTGCTGCTTGCCACACCCAACAGCTCCCTGCTTTGGCTCCAGTACATGGCTCACCATCTGCAGGCCACCCAGATCGAGCAGGCCCGCACTGTGGCAGAGAGGGCCCTCAAAACCATTTCCTTCAGGTGATTGATTGATTTTGTTTAAATTTATTGTGTATTTTTAGGGCCTAAACCTACGGATCCATCCTTAATGAATAATAATAATATCTGTCTGGGTGTTGAGGTGAAGTAGGGTTTCCATATCTGTTGAAATAGGCTTACTTTGTTTACATACATGGTTGTGTTGATGGGTGAAGAGAAATCTAACAAACAGAGGGTTGTATTTATTTTTTGTAAAACTTGTCCTGTGTGGGTCCAGGGAAGAGCAGGAGAAGCTGAATGTGTGGGTGGCCCTGCTGAACCTGGAGAACATGTACGGCACAGAGGAGAGCCTGAAGAAAGTGTTTGAGCGGGCGCTACAGTTCTGTGAGCCCATGCCTGTGTACCAGCAGCTGGCTGACATCTACGCAAAGTCTGACAAGACCAAGGTACGCTCTGTTTAAATACCAGACTCACCTGAGCTTCCCTTAGTTTAATACACATCATGCCCATTTGTCGAGACTGATCCTGAAAGACTATGTTCTGTAGCCACTAATGTTTGGATGTCTCTGTGTCCCTGTGTGCTGTCTGCTCTGTTTCATGTTTGTATCCAGGAGGCGGAGGGCCTGTATAAGACGATGGTGAAGCGTTTCCGTCAGAATAAAGCAGTGTGGCTGAGTTACGGGACCTTCCTGCTCCAGCAGGGTCACAGTGATGCTGCCAGTGCTCTCCTGCAGAGGGCGCTGAAGAGTCTGCCCTCCAAAGAAAGTAAGATGGCCTGTCCAAACACGTAATTTCACAAAACAGTTTCATGCATATTTATATATTTTTGTGGACTATACACCCACCACTGACTGAAAGTAGAGTTCCCATCCCTCTGACTGTACCGTCTATGTGAAGAGTGCAGTGTATGTAACTATTCAGACTCTGTTTTCCCGTCCCAGCTGTGTACCTCCACAGGTTTTAACCTTTATGCATTGTCATACTTCCTCTTAGGTGTGGATGTCATCGCTAAGTTTGCGCAGCTGGAGTTCCGTTATGGTGATGCTGAGAAAGGTCGCACTATGTTTGACAAAGTCCTGACGAGCTACCCGAAACGTACAGACCTCTGGTCCGTCTTCATCGACCTTATGGTCAAATATGGATCACAGAAGGAAGTCAGGTGAGCAAAAGCCCTTGCTTTGCTTTAGTTAACTGTAATTAGACCAGTTTTATGATCACACATAAAGCATGCTTCATGGAGCTTTCTAACTTCCTGTCTCCTGCAGGGCGCTCTTTGATCGTGTGATCCACCTGAGTGTTTCAGTGAAAAAGATCAAGTTCTTCTTCAAGCGCTACTTAGAGTATGAGAAGAAGCATGGCACGCCGCAGAGCATCCAGGCAGTCAAAGAGAAGGCCATTGAGTTTGTGGAAGCTAAAGGCACAGAGGCTGCCAACTAAATGACCCAATACACACAAAAATACACACACTGTGTATGTGTGTTGACTGCAGTGTGGTAAACTCGGTCTGAGCCTCACACCTGTGAGGAAAAAAGTTTGTGACTCTGGACACTCATGCAGTCTCCTCCTGAAAATGATCTTAGTTTGTAATTTAGCTTTTTTTATTGATGTGGACTAAGGGGTTGAACCGGAAAGTCTGGGTTTGATGCTGTAATTTTGCAGAACACAACAAACCTTTTGTAAAATGGGTTGTAATCATCTATAAATGTTAAAAGAAAATCAACTTCATTTTATTCAATTTTGTATGAGACCAAGTGTGAGCAATGAAGAGAATATCAATAAATCAAACACTGTTACCATACATTACGTGACGTTTTATTTAAAAGCAACAAATACAAAATAACAATATATAGGGGACATGTTTACATACAATACATACAGGCAAGACTAGTTTTTCTATCAGTCTCTTTTTAAAAGGACAGGGCCGAGGACACAATCGGTAACAATGCTGTCTACTTAAATCTTCATGGTTGTAATCCCGCTGGTCTTGGTTTCAGCCGGAGGTTGTGGCTACCTCTGACTGCTGGAGCATTTCACCTACATTGGCAGTATTGAAGATGCATGTGTGGCACAGGGTTATAGGGTGGCTGACATGGTTTGTGCTGGCTGTATTGGTAACACCCCTGAGATATTAGAGGTATCCATTCTGATCCTGTACTCTGATGTCCTACTCAATGCCTGAAGGGTTGTTGGTCTCTGGCAGTGCTGCACTAGTCGTCCAGTGACGGTGGCAATGATAGCCTTCTCTCTAATGTGGCTCCTTTTCCTGTCTTTTTTGTTTTTTGTTGAACAGTGCAATATGGAAGTAGAACTAGGAGCATTTTTATGAAAAGATCCTATTCATCCACCCACTCCCTGACTGATCTGACCAAATCATTTTGGTGCTGTCAGTTTCCAATTCCCACCAAGGCATACTGCTCAAATGTCAGCAGCAGGGCGGCCACTTGGGATCATTATCAACATTTCCTGTGAGATGTCTTAAAGATGAGCGCTGTCCATCATCCTTAGTGTGTTTAATGTGTGTGTTTTCTGTAAGGGGAGTCCGGTTTCCTCTTTCTCAACTCCCTCACACCTCCTCTGGGTCCATTGGGCCCTCAGCACCCTGGGGAGCGTCTGTGTGGAGCCGGAGGATGGGTTTGTTGCACATGGGGCACACGCTGCGAATCTCCAGCCACTTAAGCAGGCACCTGACGGGACAAAACAAGTGTTCGCTTTAAAATAATACAACATGAATCTAGTTTACCAGAAGCACCGACACTGAAATCATGATTTAGTGCTTTTTTGCAGCACTAATCAAAAAGGAAGCTATCATTAATGTAGTGGTGATTCATTCCAAAATGTAATGAAGTCTGGTGGATTAGCATGACATGAGGAGGAAATCCAGACACAAACCTTATAAAAGAGCTAGAAAAAGCTGTTCAAAACAACCCCCCTCGCTGATAAAAATCTTCAAGTAAATTATTAATGAGATATATTAGGCCTACATTTAGCAGTCACTTATTAAAATAACTTGCACCTAACAATAAGTGCAATTATTTTTTGTCAACATGACACTTCTTGGTAAAATTGTCTGTCTTTGAAATAAGATGTAAAAGCGCTGCTGTCCCCTTCACAATAAATGAATAGTAATGAATGGTACACAGCAAATTAAACAATGTAGAGTGATAAAGATAATTGCAAAAGAGATCAGTGTGTAAAGTGTTTTTATTTTATATCTAACTCAGTAAGTCATGTAAATTATAGGCTACATTCCATTTTCCAAATATAAACAAGGATATTAGATATAGGTCTACCAAACGTATTCCATCGGCAACAACAGGCTTCTATTATTGCCAATAATCACGTAAATGTCGAGCTTAATTACACTTATTTGACCACAGTTATGATTATGATGATGATGATGATTATGATTAAAAGAAACGTTAAAATATCAAAGACATCCCTTTGCTATCACTATAACCACTTTATCTGCACATCATGTCTGTTCGATCCAGATAAAAGCAGCTGTAAACGTAAAGAGACTGGACGATACAGCATTAACACGCTAAGCGCGCTCCCGCGGACGGCAATCACTTTTCGGCGGACCATAATTTTTCGGCACCTGTCTGCTCTGCTGTCAAGTCATTCTGGCTACGTTAAACCTATTTTCAGGTCTGTTAACACCTTACACAGGCTATGATTAACCCACAGTTAAAAACGGGTCCGGTAAAGCTAGCTCTTTCCCCCTGTCGTCCTAATGCTAATCTAACCAACTGCTGGCTGATGTTTCATATTTATTGTCCATGAGAATGACACCTTTCTTCTCAGCCAACTCTTGGCCAGAAAGCAATGAGCATATTTCCCAAACGGCTGAACTATTTTTTAAATATTCATCTATTTATAATTTCCAGTTTAATAACACTCACTTCTTGTGAAATGCATGTGAGCATGGGCACACTCCCAGTTCATCCCTGGTCCTGAATTCTTCCAGACATACCGCACAGGTTTGCTGCAAGAACAAAAATAACACCAATGTTTGTCTCCCAAGAACAATGCCATTTTGTAAATGAGTCAGATTTGAATTCGTAGTACATTAATTAATTCAATTTGGTCTAGATGTGGAGCACAGAACAGATAACACAAATATAAGCCACTGTTTAGAAATCATGTTTTTATCTGAACTTTGTTAACAGAACTGTTTAAGCCTCCCCTTGTGCAAACAGATTGGACAACACTGCCTCTGGGGGAAAAAGCAAAGGAAACACTTAGAAAAGCAGTCTTTTTAGCAATCACAAGAGAGAGAGAAGAGATCTTTTTTTAACGCATTTTGAATGAGTGCACAGTTATTTTTGGAGTCTGCTACAAGTAGAGAGAGCCAAGTAGGCACTCTGACTTTTTTTTTAATGGCTGCATTTGAGATACAAGATATTCTGGGACATCTCCTCTGAGAGTGTGCAGCAAGTTAATCATATCTGAGAGGAGAAATTGATTTGAGTTAACCAACCGAACCCTCCCAGCTCATAATGGGTAATCTGCGCTGGCACGGAAGCAGTGTTGGGGTAACATGAAATGTGTACAGCTGCTGGTTTTTAACATGTATGTTTAGCCCACGTTAAAGCATTTGCAGAAAGACTTACTCCTAGGAGGCTCAGTTTCTTGCTTGCCCCCTTCAGCACCACCTACAGTTGGGAAAAGGGAGAAGTTGGGTCAGGTGAAGATGTGTCAGCACTATTATGTTGGCAGAAAATCTATGGTGTAAAACGAACACTTAAGTTGGATTCAATGGCTTAAAAATATTTGGCGTGTGGCGAGTGGCGTGAAAAAAAACATTATGAATATGCATAATACAGGCAGCTGGAGTTTAAACTTCCCTAAAGCTAAAAACATTGTCACCATACTGTCACACCCTGCTACCTGCTGGGTTAACTGTTTTGAATCAGAGTGTAGGTAATGACGCATGGATGGAGTCAAGGCCATCTGTAAAGGGTGGTGTTAGGTTTCTCAGTGTGAAAGTGGTATTTATAACCTGCCTCAGAAGCTGGTGTTACATGTTTACCCACAGTGACAGATACAGCAGTGACATACCTCATTGTAGCTGAACTGCTCCCGTGTTCCTTGTTGTTTCAACCTGAGCGACACAGAGACATACCATCTGTACAGTAGAAGTGACTATCATAAGTAAATTAAGTCAGTGGTTTCAAACCTGGGGGCCAGAACCCACCTCAAGGATAGCGTGGTGATCACCCAGGTAGAAAAAAATAAAGAAATCTGCAACATGTAATTATTTTTAGGTTTTTTGGGACTTTTCCCCAAACTTCACTTCTTTCTTATGAATTATTGTATAGTTGTACTTTTCCAGGTTTATTAAAATGAAGTAATCTGGGAAGAGAAAATCACTCTTTCACTGAACTGCTCACAACTTATAGACATGCAACCGGTTACGATTGGCAACAAGGCGATACTGCTTCATATTGAGGGGTCACAGGCAAGAAAAATTATTGGGAACCACTGAGTTAAAGGTTCAGTGTGTAACTTTTAGTGGCATTTAGTGGTGAGGGTTGCGAAATGCAACCAAAGGCTCACTGTGCATTCACAGTCTCCTCAGATGGTCCCATTTCCCGAGTTGATGTGTTCATGTGCTCTTAAGTTGGAATGTGGAATCAGCATAGACACTACTACAAAGATGTGTTGGATTAGCATTATCAGAGCAATTTAATTTCTAAATCTAAGAACAAAAAAGCTGTATATGTACAAGATATGGTCCTCTTTTAGTATCTTTATATAATATAGACTACCCCTGGCAAAGTTTTTATTATTTGTGTCTTAGTATATATTTGTATACTGTTCTATATACTTCTTTATGTCCCTTGTACACTTTATTCCTCTTTTGCAATAAAGATTTAAGGAGAAAAACAAAATCCAATTATTCCGACAACACATGAAACAGGCACCCCCCCACCCCTCCCTTTCCAAGTGCACTCTGTAGAGCAATTTGTCCGTTTGTGCTACTGTACAATCATTGCACGCAACATGGCGCCATCCATGTAAGAGGACCTGCAGTGTACGTAGATAGAAATGGTTCATTCTAAGGTACTAAAAACATAATTGTTCATTATGTAAGGTCTTTATACACCACTGAAAACATAGTTATTTATCTTATACTGCATTTCTGCATTTATATTGGTTGTATCTCTGTCTCATTTTTAAAACAAAAAAACATTTTTATAAGGGTCCTTTAAATGTGGTTTTTCAACTTTATTCGTTTTTGGTCACATGGGGGCAGCACAACAAACATGGCAAACATATTAGCAAACATTGGCTTATTTACACATCCTGTAGACACAGAGCAATATTCAACTTGTAGCTGTCCATAGGGCTAGACAATTAGTCGAAATCTTCTCAAAACTGCAATATGGCCTACTGCAATTTTCACATCTCAGGAGGTGCAATATTTGTTAAAGGCAAAATACCATCTTAAATTTATTATTGTCGTGCTGCAGAGATGTCCTGGCCTACATATCATATTCTACAGACTTAGGAAAACATCTTTGGTACAGATCCTTGTAAAAATTCAACCATAATCATTAAAATATGTTTTTCAATAAAAAATGGGAATAATAATGTAAATATGATCATTCCCTCCAACATCGCAAATCATATAGCAATTCAGTCAAAATAATCGCTATTAGATTAGATCGTTATTTATTTACTTTGTCTGTCTGCTGTTTAGTGCTGGGCAGGAAGCGCTTGAGGGTTTTTGAACCTTTCATTGAACAGAGCTTCCTGCTGTACCTGAAAACGAAACTGATGAGAGTGGTGAGAAAGAACCAAAAATGGTACAAATGGGTAAAACAATAAGCCAAAAGGCACTAAAACGCTGTGGATCTGATCTCAACTGCAGAGTTTGTGAGAATTATTTGGGTCTATCAATACTAGCAACCTTTTTTCACATTCCACGTAGTCGCGTGATCCATTGTTAATCATCGTGATCATCGTTGTTGGAAAATAAACTTAAGTGATCTTTGTTTTAAAAATAATTTCAAAAGTATCTTTCTTTCTTGTCGTTTTCAGTTGACATACACAGATACTGACATATATCTGCAGTAAGCTAATACCACTGAAATAGCAGCCCAATGAACTGTTGAATTGATTGCTTTGCTTTTGCTACTGCAGCTTACTGTATATGTATGCTGCATGTTGTAACATGCATATTTACATAAATACTAGCATAGATTGATGTCTAATTATACACTATATGTAACAACTAAATTTGCATCATGATTGCTGCTATCATTACATATTACAATCTTATTACCAAGGTATTTTTGAATTAATTTTAACCCACTGTGTTGCAATACTTGCTCAAACATGTTCAGAAACATCTAACTGGATTGCCCTCTTGCTGTAATGTAATGTTTCTTTTTGTATTTCCTGTTTTTATTCACATTGCTCATGTACCTTCCTCATTCTCCCCCCAGATTTTCTGTGACCCAGTTCATCTTCCTCCCAAACCCACTCTACCTACCTGAAAAGGTAGCAGCAGAAGATGAGGCTGAGCATGAAGACGAAGAGGCCGATGCCCAGCACAATGACATACACATTGAGTGGGAGGTGATATATGTCAGAAGTCATGCTGCAGTAGTGTTCAGAGCGCTGAGTACCCAAACCACACAGGCATCCTGCCAAGAGTTTGCAAATACAGATTACAAACCTTACACTTTTTGTTACCTTGTCCAACATGTTAGCTTAAGCAAGTTAAAAGAAACTTCTTCCCCTATTATTTCTTATACGGTTAAATGTGGAGCAGTAACTGTCATTCTGTGGGCAGTTAACCTCAAAACCTGTTTATGCATATGTTTCTGTGTTTTATGTTTGTTTACAGCCTCAGTCTTTTAAACTGCATTCAACTGTGTCAGTCTTGCAACTTCACTGGTTACTTTCCTATTATAGCCAACAAAGCTCCACCAACGTCTACAGCATACAGTTCATACTGGATTGACTATGCAAGTCTAAATTGGTAGCATAGACTTAAGATGCTGCAATTTGTACAGACAATTGAACTGTTATGAGTTCAAAGAGCAGTTAAGCTCTCGAGATATGTGAAAATAATTTCCTTTGTCAAGGAAAAAATTAGCCATGATTATTATTTGCGAGCAGTAAACACTGTATTTAAAATGTATTATGAAGAAGAAGAGGAGTCATTGGCAGAGAAGCAGGAAATTGTTGATCATTAACTGCAACATGAATCTAAATTACCATTAAAGGCTTTGAATCTCTGGCTGCCAACAGATACAAAACGCGGCCATATGTTTGCTTGAAAATGAGTATGTGGCATTTTGGCTCATCTCCACAGAAAGAAAAAACTGAGTTGTACTGACAGTAAAATATTTGATGAGGAGTTAGACGTAATAGTTGGTGTTTGTGTGGATGCAGGTGTGTCCTGGGAGCTGTGACCGGCACTGTGGTGGCAACTGAGGTGCTCAAAGGACTGTGCGTTAATTGGCTGTGAACAAGACAAACATGGAGGACGGACACCACTTCCACCACACAACCATCTGTTCCTCAGACTCTATAGAGGTGACTGGTAGAGTGTGTGCGTATGAGTGTGACAGCAGCACTGGGGGATGGATGGGTGGAAGGGTGTCTGTCTGCATGTATTTGTAAGACCGAAGTGTGTGTGTGTGTGTGTGGCAGGCAACAGGGGGTGGGGTATATTAAATAGGATGAACTCTGGGGACTAAAGGACCATTTGGTAAAACAATAGCAGAGGAAGCCCCACTTCCACAGGCCACATGTGTTCCTATTAATTTGCAGCGAGGATGCTCCTTGCCAGCCTCTAAATGTCCATGTGTGTCTCTTTAGAGTGAATGAATGGGTACAGCTTGCACACTGTGGGGGGTATGGGTTGGATAATTTGACATGGCTGGGGGTTGGGGGATATACAAGGAGGGGAGGTAGTGTAGGGAAGACCTAGGGTAGCATAATGAGATGCAATCATGAACCAGGCATGGATGCACTGCAGAATCAGTCAATAGTACCAAAACAGCAAGGAACGTGGAAGAAGGTTAAAGAATGAAATATCTTCAGTTTCAGTTGCCATAGCTGTTAAACAAACATGACCTTGAATCTGGCTTATTTTTAACTTAGGCCTCCACTCTCTCAGTAATTTACACACAAGTACCTCCATTATGTGGATTCCATAAGGTAACAGCAAGCAACTGAGTAAATGAGTTTATGAGGTACAAATAAGTACACGTGCTACCACCTCTTGTGTATTTGGCAGACTGCAGAGAAATGCACTCACTTACCGTTACACCATTGGAATGGTTGCATGAAATTTGACTCCCAGAGCAGCAGCAGTAAATTCAGGCCCTGTCAGGAGAAGGCTGGAGTCGAGCCAAGCTCGTGGGCTGGAGCTCCGGACACTGAATCTGTTTGGAGCCTGGATTCAGTCAACCTGAGCTGGATTGCTTTCTTGCTGGGTTGCGTTAGCTCCTCCAAAAACCACCATCAAGATTTTCAGATTTGCTTTAGATTCCACAAATCCTGGGGCGGCGCGGTTTTGTTGGCTCAGCACTCTGTGCTGCCCAGCATTCCCAAATCTGGATTAACCACTCCGGGAAAAGATTGGGAGATTTGGGACTGGGGTTTGGACTGGGACCGAAGACCTCATGTGCTCCTGGATCCCAGTGGAAATGATGTCATCACAGGAGAGGGATGAAGAGACAAAGAAATGCTGTTGAGAAGAAATGATTGTTTTTCAGATGCCTCATACCATGTGGTATTCAGGAGTTGTTATTGTGAAAAGCTGGATCTCACTCAGTCACAATGTCACAAACAACACAGGCTGCTTGGTACCAGGAAATACTTACATTTACAGCAGAAAAGGGCCTCTTTGCCTTCACTTTGCGTCAGTAGTCTCGTCCCCTTCCCAAATTAAATGACATCCACCGTTCAAAATGACAGTCCTCGTCCAAGGAAGGTAATTATCTGGCATTAATCTGTGCTTTGTCTTCCTCCCGAAGCTGCTTTTTTAACAGGATTTTCACAAGTCTCATCCCCCTCTCCTCTCCTCTGTTGTCTCCTTCTCGAGTCCTCTGATCTTGCAAAGGGTATTCCTCCTCAGAATAGAAGCCAGAGATGTGCTTCCCTCTAAGCCCAAACAAAGTGAGGACAGCTCCATGCAGTCAGCAACAATCCTCTAGCTGGGTTTGGTATTTTGCTGGTGACTGTGTGTTTGTGTGTCAGTCAGTGCATGTGTGTGTGCACGCGTATTTATGTCTGTGTGTGTGTGTGTGTGTGTGCGTAAGGGAGGATCCTACTCTCCCTCTAACCATCTGCTCCCTCAATTGAGAAAGAAAAAAATCAGAGACAAAGGTGGTGTGTTTGTGCAAGTATGTCTGCCTGTGTTGTATTCTCTCTCCCACCTCCAGCTGGCTTTGTCGTGGCAGGCTTCCCCCCGTCCTCTTTCAATCCCTAATGGTGCTCAGAGAGCCTGAAATTCGCCTTTCCCTTCCTCCCCTTGCTCTTGCTCTTTCTCGGGTTTGTAAACAGATCTCTGCTCATGTGACCAGCCGTTTTGCCTCGCAACTCTCCTCTCCCTCAGCCCTCCCTCGCTTCCTCTATCCTCCAATCTGTAGGCAGAAGGAAGGCAGAATGAGCCAGACACTGACGAATGGGGCGCCTGCAAGCATGCTGATGTGTTTGTGTCTGTATGCGCACACCCCTGTGCATGTATATGTGAGAGGGAGACAAGAGAGACATTTGCAGCAAAGTCAAGGGAGACCTTGGTCGGTAACATGCGCATGGCTGATGTCCTGACAACCACAACAAAGCCATCTGTGTGAAGTGGAGGTCAGCAAAAGAAGAGATGATGCAACCTCAGTCAACATTTCCTTCCTTCACATGCGCACAGATTGAATTTTAAGACCCTCGGCAGATTATTTTTCATGTTTGCTTTGTGTGATCTATATATAAACATCATGTCACTCTTGAGGAGGAAGAACAAGGCAGGTAGAGCAGCAAAGAGGGGGGGAGGTGTCTCTGTCGATAGAGGGAACAGAGGAGGAAGCAAGATGTGAAGGAAAATAAAGTCAAGAGGAAAAAGAGGGAGAGACACAGAGAAAAATCACAGCTTGGACAAAGACATTGCCTGCACGTCCACCCCCACACCAGCGGCCCTGGCCGCCAATTCGCTGAGGGAACAGCTGCTGGGCTACTGGGCGAGCTGTTAGACGGTCAAGGGGAGTGCTGCTTCGCCAATCCCCAGGGGAGGGAGGGAGGCTTCAATGGGATCAATGCCATTTTCATTCACCCTCCCTTCCACCCCCCCTTGCTAGTAATGACTTTACTGCTGAATACTGAGCAACAGCTGGTTTGACTGCACAGATGCATGAGCATAAATACAGCCCTGAATATACACTGCATGCATTGTTGGGTGTTTACAGGTTTTAGAATTAATGTGTGTTGTTGCCACAGAGTTGTGTTGTCATTGTTGGCATGCTGAAGGGTGGTGGTTTTGGTAACAGCATGCCCTCTTGTGAATTATGATGAAATCACCATTGTAGCAATAGCTTCCTGCAGATATACAGGATATGAAAGTGTTCACAGGTTATTCATATCAGAGACATTTTCATATTCAACTGTAACTGCAAAATTGCTGTAAACAATAATTGAAAAGGCCTTTTCAAATATAGAAGACAATTCCTCAGTGTTTTAGTAGAAAGGGTTTTACCAGGAAATGACATGAAACTGGGCACTGAGCAGGAAAATGAGAAAGGGAGAAAGATGCAAATGTTGACGTTTTGTTTGTGACATGTAAATAGTTTTGGCTGTTACAACCTTTTGTTTTTGCATAAATCATAGTTATGCCTGTTTGGCAAACACTGTAGATAGTTTGTGGGGCTATCTGCTCATGACAAGATTTAAGGCCAGAAACGTTTTTGCAAAGCATAATAAACTAACATTACACACATGTTCTAATGGAAATATTTTTTTTATGGCCAATTTATGATATCAACCACCATAACCTTATGATTCCTTTTTTATTTGTAACAGAAAGACTGTGTTATAAACGTTACATAGTCTCGCTTTAAAGCAAAGAGCAGCTGGGGCTTGAAGTGCATGCAGCTTTTTTCTTTGCTCATATGACCCCTGTTAACTTTTTGGGGAATATTTGTGGTGGCCCCGCACTTGAGAGGACCACAAACAGTCATTAGTGTTAACAATGAGAACTCGCCAGTGTGTTGCAATAATGATTAACTATCACCCTGATACAGCAGCTCTACTTCTGCAGAATTTTGCTTAGTTCTGTCCCTCAGAGAGCAGTGTGTTTTCAGTAATTCAAGACTTGTTGTAGAGAAAACACAGTTGCACCAACAGTAAAAACAAAACAATCTTCTGAATAAACTGAGCTGTATGTGGACCAGAAATGTTGACAAATTCTTTCATTTTGTGGGGATCATGCTCAAGTATTGGACCATTAGTCAAATCATACATTGCATTGAATTAAATTTATTTTCATTTATATGTTCTATGCAATGAAGTAAAAATCTAATTCAACTGAATCACAAAATTATATTTCTAACTAACTTTTTTACAAATTATCAAATGTAAAGTTGTTGGCTATAGAAACAAAATGACTTCTGGCACTGAAACAATAAAAATGTCTGAAAGTTGCAAGCTTTTCTCTGTCTTGTTGAGCTCTTCAGACCTTACTGTAATACACTGCCCATTCCTTTTTCTCCACATTATGGGTGTGTCCCTTTACAAATCCGTTTGCTACTCCATTGGCATCTCCATTCAGTCTGCCTTTGTTTTCACCATCTATTTGGTCCTTTCTCAGAGCCAGAGCGGGCTTACAGGTGTGCCAGTTCCATAAAACTTTATTCATATCATCCTGGGCCATGATACCCAGAAGCTTTTCTTCATCACTCTTTTTCTCTTCATCGTCGTCGCTGTTGTCCTTGCTGGAGTGAAGGTGGTGGAGGTTGCGCATCTCACCGCTGATGTTCTCAAAGTACTGGTGGATGCAAACCTTGGCAAAACTCTTGGCATGCTCCTTACAGGTATCGTCGAACATCTTGCGCTCAATGTCAATGTAATGAGACCAGTATTTGGTCTTGAGGAAGGCGGCTTGAGTAAAGCATGGTCGAATAGCTCGGATCAGGAAGGCAGTGAAGGTCATCATGAGCAAAAACATCCATCCACATGCCTGTAAAATATTTAAGTTAACAAAATGACCACCATTCTGTGTACTCACATTACTATTATATGAACAAAATATAGATTACAGAGAAATGGACTTTTTTTAATAGTTTTTTTTTTGTTGTTGTTTGTGTTCTTGCAGATACTGAAGTCAAATAGTCTAACGTGATCAAAAAAGCATATTGAAGAGCTTCTTGACAGTTTTATAGCTCATTAACCGAAACTGTATATCAGTAGACTTTAGAGACATGTTACTTTTAAGCCTGTATAATTGCCCTTCGGCTGATCAAAGACCTAAATAACAGTGTGGGTGTTTTTGGATGGATTGAAATAGGTCCCAGTTCCATGAATAATAAATTTAGAAGCTTATCTAGACCTCTAATAAGCGAACAGTAAAGCTTCAGTGAGCTCAAAACGCAAAGTCGGGTGGGGAGATTTAAGCTAAGGACAGTTTATGAGGAATAAAGCAAGGAAAGTTAAATTTGCTTAGCCATCACATCCTGTCATGAAGTTGGAGTGTACCCTGCTGAAAGTGTCCCAACTTTTGGCCACACTTAATATGTATTTGAAAGAAATGTAAAAATGTATTATCTTTAAGCTACATTATAATTGCACTTCTAGTCAGACACATACGGAAAACACAAGGATGACTAAATCAATATTTCTATTGTGCTATTGTATAATCCACATGTTTCATTATAGAGTAATACTGAGGACATTAACAGTATCTTAAATAGGCCTATTTATTAACAGCAGTCATTTTGACGTGTCATAGCAGGAAAAGCACAGGTGTTACTAATAATGTTAACGGTGACTCTTATATTCAAGTGACCCAGTAAGTCATGACAGTATCATCATGCGTAACACAAGGACCCTGAAACTGAACATGTCAAAATGTTTTCTGTAAAAAAAAAAAGGACCATGCTAGCTACAGCGCTGTTCTTGTTGCTGACTAAAAAGTAAAGTCTAGCCATGTTGTCAGGGTTACCTCGCCTTGCTGACCCCAAATTTCCAAATAACCATGCTAGCTTATAAATTCAACTTTCCCCCCACATTTCACCAGAGTTCTTCCTGTCAGGTTTGCCATTTAACCAACGTTTGGTCTTTAAATGGTTTCATTTGTCTCCAGCTCTGTCTCTGTCAAAAGCTTGTCAGCTCAGTCTAAAACCATTCACAGAAAAGTGACAAACAAAATCAGCAAGCAAAGTTACCTGTGATATACACTTGATGTATCGTGATGCTGCCACACTTATTTCCTGATGCTCAAATAGGTCTTTGCAGGGAATCCTCGCCAGCAGTTTCATCTTTTCTGTCTCGGACATCCCGGCAAAAAAACTGTAATTGCCAAACTTGTCAATATCCAGGTTGATGCTGAAAGCACAGAGGAAGCTCTTCCCATCCATGAGAGTGACAGACACCCACACTGCAGGTGCTATCAAGGATCTCTGTGTGATTGAACAAAACATATAGCGAAGGATTGTTGGATCCTTTGTCCGTTTCCCCGTGGGTCTTTTCCACTCCTCTGCAAGTACTGATACATTATTGTTCAATACAAAACCTAACATAAAGAACCATATAGGTGGAACGATAAGCAGTCCGATCCCATAGCTGTAGTTGTATTCTGGCATACAGGGGCAGCTGAACTCAAAGGCAGAGTACATCTGTGCACTAGCTAGTGCCATGATACCACAGATCCCATTCATAAAAGATTCCTGGTTGGATTGGAGGAACTGGAACATCATACGAAACTTATCCATCTTGGGAGATGCGCTGGATCTTTGGTTCAGATCAACTTAAATCTGTGAAAAGAAGTACAGTAGGAAGTTTTAAATCAGTTAATATTTGCATCATAGCATGCTGATTCTTCTGGCGCAGATAATTCACTTGAGAACAATTGACCTTTATTAATGTTTAATACACTGTTTACTAATACATTGTTTCATAAAACATTGGTAAACAATTTTTGTAAATGAGGTATAAGCAATAAATTAGAACATTGTTCAATCGACAGCTTGTGAATTATCTCTTTCCAGTAAGCCTACAACAGAGGTTAGTAAATCAGATGTTGATAAATCAAAGTGATAAAGGGTGCTTATAATAATCCATTAATCTGTCAATAATTAGTATAATAATATAAAATACAACAATTTTGATGCTCTGTGTGGCTGTCAATCCAATAGTTCTTATTAATGTCTTAGTACTATTCTGTTAAGAATTAGTAAATTATTTATTAACTATTATTAAAGTCATTATAAACACTTTATAGAGTGCCTTAAAATAAAGTACTACCATAATCACACATGCGCATACTGACCTATGACTCTTAAATGAAACCAACATTCATGCAGATATATCCCAATTTCATCAGATTGATATAGATGATAATCCAAAGCCAGTCATCTCTAAATAATGTTTAGAAAGTCACATCACACAACCAAATCCATACACACACACACACACACACACACTTACCTATTTTCTTACAAATGGATGAACGGAAGAAAAGGAAAAATTCTTGTAACCACAACGTTCGTCGTAAATAACTAGTTCTTTATATACTTAGACATTGTTGCTCTGACCGACAGAGGTATTTCTCGAACTCTCTGGGGTGGTGTTCAAAGCTGACCACATTATCTGTCATCATGCCCCTCCCTTCACAGGCACCTGTTTCTAGTGTGACGTAACAAAACATTCAACCCACACTTTCTCAAAGTAATGTAAACCTGTTGCATTGCTCAGAAAACACTTCTGCTCAGTCCTTTCACAATATAAATTAACGTATTTTCTTACTTATATGACTGTAGATGGGTAGTAGTGTTAACTCAACTTATCTGAACTGGGGATGCAGTGTTATTCAGAAGTGGCCACAGTGATCCAGACATGCAAAATGGTCTCAAACCATGCAAATATCTGTGGCAGCTTTGGCTAGAAAATTTGGTTGTTGTCCAAGAGGTGAAGGTTGAATATGTTCCACTTGTTTAATCAGAACCAAATAAATCAAGAGACAATAGTTAGTAGACAATAATTTGGAGCCCTTCGAACTCAGCTGCACCCACTGAATGGGCCAGAGCTCGACAAACCAGTTTGAAGCTCACAAGAGGATAAAAGGCAGGGGCTTACTCTCCTATTCATAGACACAATTCATTTATCACACATAATGTGGGGTAATGCTTGGTCCTTTATAACTTAACATAATATTTTGTATAAACTGTCCATGATTCATTCAGAGACTCAGAGTAAATGGTTCATTTCAGACTACACTGAATCTTCACTTAAACTTACAGGAAGTCTGTGCGATCTCTTTTTTTTCTGTGTATTGCGCAGGAAAATGTCACAGCAGAGCACATGGGTAGGGTGTGCAGGAAATAAGTCACGAAAGACAACCTACAACTACATCTAAAATAGGAACAAACCACTGAGCCTGTAGCTGTGCAAGGTTGGTTTCTTGCTTCCTTCTTTGTTCACTCACTTCACTCATTACCGGAACATCTCACTATTTTATTGATTCATCACTTCTTTTGGTGGGTATTTTCGTTCTTCTTTATTGTTCCGCAGTAATAAATGGCATTTTACATATAATGTAATCACAGAATTGAGGAAAGAAGATGCTTCAAGGCCATCGAGGAAGCAGCTTCTTTCTTACTTGCTTTGCATCGTTGTGAGCTTTGCCATAAAGTATATTTTACATATAATTGCAAGGGTTTTCATTCAATCTTTTGTTCTTACATATTTCATATTTGTAACAATTCTTTATGCTGTTTGACTTATTCACAGACAGTATTGACGATGCACAGCACTCTGCTGCGAGTGTTTGTGGTGGCTCTGGGTCTCCTAACGCACCCAAGAGATGACCCCGGGGTTGAGGAATGGGGTGATATCACCACAGTGGGCATGCAAAAGCATGAAGAGAGGCTGCTGAGAGGAGAAGAAAAACTGGACCATGAAATGGCACATATCAGTAAGGAAAGGATGTATGCTGGGCCTGGAGATGACACTCCCAAGGAACTTGTTGATCGGTCTGATCAGCAAGTTACTGAAAAAGATAAAATGTCAGACTTAGATGATGTGAATGTCATAAAACAGCAATCAGAGGAAGACAATGTTGATCACAAATTACAAGAAGGGGGATATTTTATAGCAGATTTGGATCAGCAACAAAACTCCAAAAGTGAAGGTGAGACTGCTCTGAAAACGTCACAAATTGACCATGAGCAAAAGGGAAATTTACAGCTGGACATGAGGAGTAAACAGGGAGAAGATGACTCTTTTACAGACCCAAGCAGACCACACAGGCAACAGGAAAAGCCGGAAGAGAAGGAAATGTTCAGCTCCAAAGAACAAGAATCAGCTCTGTCACACCTTCACACCAAGACATCAGAAAATGAAACTTCAGAGAACACCATCGCTGACTGGGAGGGGGATTATCTCTGGTACTCATGGAACATATTCTCCATCATCTCCATGATCCGCTTCTTTAGGAAATACCTAGAAAGAAATTCCCAAATGAAGAAAGAAGAAACCAGGGCCTTCCCAGAGACCTGCATGGCTGCTGAAGTGCCACTGCCAGACAGCCACACTCTGCAGCGATTTCATTCTAAATGTATTCAAGTATCATCCAATAACAAATGGAAGGAGGATGAGTTTTTAGAGGGGTTTGCAAATGATCTATTGGATGCTATGAGGAGTGTCTGTGATAGCAATGACGGTATGTTGATTGAGGACTTTCAGATGGTGGGTGTGTGTGATATCATCGTTCCCTTTAGCCCACCTGACCCTTATAGTTTTCAGTGTCTGCTGTGGAACAACCAGGCGAGTGACGAGCTGCTAGATATGCAAGTCTGTGGCCAAATAAAACTGGTAGAAAATAAGAAAATCCAAAATGGCTGCCACTGTCAGTCTCCTGATGCAGATGATATGGTTTGCCTGCTGCATTGTGAGACTGCGAAAGTAATGACAAAAATTACTGATGTTTGTGATGGACTTCTGTGCATGAAGAACTCCCCGTTCTTGTCAAAATCACTGGTTACCAGATGGTTTCAGAGCGCTATCAAACAAGCGTGGGCACTGATTTCACATAAGTATGAGTTTGAGCTTAACATCCGCTACATTGATGCTCCAGGTGCTCTGGTCATTCGATTTAGATCAGGGAAGAAGCTAAGCTTCAGTATGAATCCTGTGGTTAAATTCAAAACCGATGCTCATTTCTTCATTACTCCTTGCTCCCCAAAGAACTTGGATACTTACTGGACACTCTCCCTGACAAGCCATCTTGATAGTTTCTTTGAACACATGGCTAGACACCTGCCTGGAAATTCATGCCACAGTCAAACTCTTGAAATTGCCCAGTTCCTTCACCGGAAACAGGCAGCACTGTCTGGAAGTAGTGTGCTCAAGGAGGTTCATTTCAAAACTGCACTAATGCATCTGCTTTTGACCAGAGCCCCATCACAGTGGAAACCCAACGTTGGGACTTCCAGGCTACGAGATTTGTTGGCCTTCATGGAGAGAAGCCTTGAGAACAAGCAGTTGAACCATGCCCTTATTGGGAACCCCTTGACACAGAAAATTATTGAACTTCCTGCTGAATTCACTAAAGCAAAGACTGTGAATCTCTTCCATCCCCTTGTGGTACACAACTGCATCTACAGAGATGCAGTGACACATTTTCAGGAAATGCTTAGAAATGCAGACTTGCTCATACATGAATATGCTGGGCAGTGTACAGACAATGCCAGTTGCGCCATTTAAAGAGTCATAAGCATTAAGATTTTAAATTCTGCTTTTATTCTCTTCTGTCAGAGTGAATGAGTTATGTCATGATAATAGCAAGTGATCCATTTCTCATTTAAAAATCATGTCTACATAATTCTGTCAGTAATCATTTTCCCATCGCTTTAAGTCTTCATGCTCTGCCACGTCGGGGTCAACAAAACTGAACGTGTCAAGGGAATTCATCCGAGGGTCAACCGCTGCATAGTCATCCTTGCCGCTTGCGACGACCTCCCAAGAGTGACTTGAGATCATACCCCTAGAAGCTGTAAAAATACAAGAGGATAATTGTCAAGAGTAGCTTTCAGTAAGGAGTCATTTTATGCTTTTGATTCTGCATGATTGTCAAGGGATGAGTACTTTTGGATTTGCATCAGTATTGCCTGTAGAAAGTGAACGCTTCAAGAATTGACTGCCTAGGAACAGCTCTGTGCCTAGTCAGGGAGCATGTCTGAAGTTACTGCATTTCATACCAAGATGTCCTCAAGACCCCTCCCCAACAGACAGACAAGTTGAAGACGTACCCTTAGGCTGTGCCAAGGAGCAGGTCGAGTCACAGCAGGTGCACACGGAGTCATCAGAGTACAGCTCCTTCCACCTAAACCATAACAGTGTCAGCAATATTAGATGGCAAACTTGATGGACAAAGCAGATCACAGTGAGCACATACTGGAAATACACACCGAGTTCTTTTGGCAGTCAAGTACACATGAAACACTTCCTCCTACAAGACCTTCAAAAGCAAGCTACACCTGTGAGGTTTTACTTTAGCCAGAGTCAACTCACGTTTTGGTCGCTGGATCATAATTGCAAGCCTTTGAGCCCTGAGTTGGAGTACGTGTCCCCACAGAGATCTCGCAGTGCATGTAGAGTTGCTGAAAGACAATGAGCATTAATGGCTACATGTGTTCATTATTTGACAGCATTGAGCTCTGTACAACTACCTCTTGACAGTACCTGTGAGGAGGAAGCGGAAACGCCATTCTTGAAAATCAAGGCACCCAGACTGAATTTCTGGACCATCTCTGAGGCGCCAGCGAGGAACCTTGACTGTTCGTTCTCTTTGCCATCAATCATGCACCTGTCGAGAAGACACATTTACCTCCAACCACCAAGTGACAGGCCCATCTTATACTGAAATCATTTCAAACCTTACCCTTGGTTGTCAATGACCGTATATCGAGGATTTGAATTGGGGTCTCGGGAGGCTGTCACAAAGCACTTGTCGATGTATATCCTCTGGCCTCCCAACTGTGCAGTGCGGTCAGGTTGCGTGGCCTCAAAGTACATCGGCTCGCCCAAGGTGAAGGTTTTGGTTCCAGTGATTTCATTACCTGATGCTGTGGCAAAGTGAGGGACATCACTTGACAATAGAGACACACAGGGCTGCTGCATGCATTTGCTATGCAAGTAATGCAATTGGTTCCTTTAAGCTCCAGCAGAATATGCAGTGATGAGTTCTGAGTACTTGTAGAACATGCTTTAGTATTTTATGCTGGCATATTTTGAGTACACTTACAAATGCTTGACAGATCAGGTGCTAGGGTGCCTTTTCTAAAATGGTAAATATTTGACTCCAGGGTTTGTCTAGCTTTGGATTCATTTTGAACACAGCTTCTCATTTGTGTCAAATACAGGTGTGCATTTAGCACCCCATGTAATCCTTGTCCACACAAGTTTTGTCAGACATCTTTGTTGCCCATTAAAGAACCTGATTTATACCACCTCAGAAGTACGTCATCATCCACATTAACCTCACCATGTTACAAAACTAAGGATAATGTACATTTTGTAGCGCTCCCTCTGTCCAAGTTGCACATCTATACTTTGAGCAGCACTTTCCTAGCCTGGTTAAGTTTAGAAGTGTGCATTTGCAAGTTACCACTCCTTTCTGCACTTCAGAGCTCCTAATTTCAAAAAAAAGAGACAGTGCTTCTGATAACAGGCCTTGTGCTGAAAATACTGGGTGATGGTGCATTTAAAACATGGGAACATACCATCTTGAGGAGTAAGGGTGAAACTAGTTTTAGGTTGGAGTCGTTTGAAAACTGCACCCATGCGATCAGGATAGAAGCCAACTTTATAGGAGTGGAAAAACCTGCAATAGTCAAGTGAAAACTCACAATACAAAATTTGAAGACAGAAGTCATTGATTGCCCTGTAGTCTTGCAATATGTCCTTGGTCTTAAATGCTGGTAGTTAAGATTTGTAATAGAACTAAATTACACAATCATACTAAAATTAAGGAACCTAATCTAAATCTTACCTGGGATAGTTACAGTTCAGGGGAATATCAAATGGCATTTCCCTTAAAACTGGACCGGTTGGCCTGTAGTGGAGCACATTGCTAAAGGACAGATAATCTGGATGACTCTGGAACATAAACATTCACATGTTGGTTGCAGTCACAAAATAGAACTAACTGAATGATACAGCAATTGAGAGGAACAGCTTTACCAACCTTTTTCTCAAATCCACAGTCAGTTCTCAGAAGGTACTCAAGGTAGTAATGTTCTTTGGTACCTTTGTTAACAGGACAGGTGCCTAGTTTCAAGTATTTGTATGCGTCACGAGTCTTAAAGACCTCTCTCCTGATTCTCACATACATTCTGTCAACATGACACAGGATTTCAACCAACTTTGTCCCGGCTGTTGCGCCAATTGCCGGAGTAGGGGCAGCAGTCACAAGTAACATTTCGTTAGCCAAGTTAGGGAGGCTTCTGGCACCCTGTTCTGGCTTGAAAACCTGTTTCAGGGTCTGAGAGGCTGGGACAGCCAGATACTGAGGAACATTTTTGGCTTCAGGTGATCCACTACCTGATGCACTCCTCAACAATTTGGTTTCAGGTGCAGGGGCTGGTGTCATTTCTTTACTCATCATTGTCTCCATTCTCGCCCACACTAATTCAGGATCTTCCAAAAATAGGCCATCCTCAGATCTACTTTCAAAAGAACTACAGGCAGAACAAAACAGCAACAACAAACACACAGCAGGTACTAACTCCATTTTCACTCCAGCAGCTGCCTTCAACTACAACTGACCCCTAACCTAAACAGGGCATGTATGATGGTAGTGTTTCACCTGGCTTTTATGTTCTGCACTTAAGAGATAATTCACACAGCTGCTGTAAATTCCAATCAAGAACAACCAATGAGAGGTCACCAATAATAATCCCCCTTAACGGGCTTCCTTTCCCTGTAAAGGCTTATGTGTTATACACCAGTGTGGGTTTGCAAAGTGCATGTGTCATTTCTAAACCAATTGTACAACGTGCAAAATAAAGTATAAATTAAGTCAGTCCCTTCAATTTACTCAGTAGGTAGGGTTAACTTCTCTTCCCTCTCTGGTGAGGCAGCAGCAGAGCATTTCCACCCACGTCTATCATAGCCTCTATGGACAGATCAGTTGCTTCATTATTAATGAAGTATCTTGTATTGAATATTAAATAAATCGAGACATAAAACTACAATAAACCCCAAAAACAATGGTGCAAAAGACATAGTTACTTTATTATGTTACAAAAAATCCCGGTCCTACAGAGAAGCTTAGGGCTCTCGATGAAATTTTCTAAATCGATAGATCAATCCAATTAAAAAGATGGGTGGTTGTGGAAAGGTGGGCTAGGCTAATAAGCATTAAATGAGGCATGTAAGTAAGTTTTAAATAACATGTTGTTCCTTTTATTATTTTTTTGAAATCGTAACCGGATGTTACGCAGCGCATGATGCCGCTACCAGGAAGTTCCAACACAGTCCTGTTAGCTGGACGTTGTGGTCGGAGGCTGAAAATCCCTCGTTGGCCTTTTCATTTATTAACAAAGTGAAACAATCGTATTTGGTTTGGAAGAGTATGTTTCAATGTAGGATGACACAGTCTCGCTTTTACTTTGTATCCCCTGTTTGTGCTAAAATGCGTTGTTGTCGTTCTGTTAGCCGACTAGCTAACAAGCCAGCTAACAGTTAGTTAAGGTTGTTTTGATGAATAATTATTGTGAATAGTAACGTCAGCGGCGGCTGGACTCCAGTGCTAGTAACATATAGTGATGGCAAGTTCGACTCTTTACAGACTCGTTCATTCAAATCTTGTTCATGAAAATGAACTAATCTTTTTTTCAGTCATTTCGTTCATTTGAACCAGGCTGGTTATTGTGGCGCTGCAGCCCTCTAGTGGGCGATTAAAAAACAGCGCCGTTCTCAAACATGGAAGGCTGCCTGGCTTGTTTTATTTGACAAAGTATAAAGCACAAATTCACCTCTTGATTACTGTATATCATCATTATATAACCCCCCCTGGGCCCACAACCAAATTCAAAACATGTAAAAACCACAGAAATATGTTGTCAATATGTAATCACCGCTACTCCGGCTAAATCCTTCCATTTTCACAATCTTTCCCGAGTAGGATACAACCAGACCTGCCATATAAAGGCTTATGTATATAATTACTATCATCATTCATACAGTAGCCTAACGTCCCTGAGTAAAATATTAATATTGGATTAGCAAATTATTATTATTATTAAATTGGTTGAATTTTAATAAGAGTGTTTTTATTCATATAGTGTATCAAGCTTATTACTTCAATATATTTACTGCAAATGATATATTTATATCTGTCTCTAACTTCTTTAAGCTTGATTTTGCTAAAAAGTTTGCTACTTCATTTCCTTCAACTCCAGCATGTCCAGGGACCCAGCAGAACATAACAATGCTACCAATCATTGTAATTCTAAATAATACAGCTAGAATTTCACTTATGATATCAGGACGGGCTTTTGCTTTACGGCCTTTCAAGGCCATCAGGGCAGCTGCAGAATCAGAGCAGATTAAGGCTTCTCTTTTTTTCACATCCTCAATCTACCACAGAGCCCAAAGAATCGCCAGTAGCTCTGTTGTAAAGACATAACTTCTGTCTGTTATTCTCTTGCTAATCCTAAAATCCAGTTGAGCTATATACACCCTAGAACCTGCTCTCCCACTCTCTGGTTCCCTGGCACCATCTGTAAAAAAAATTCAGATATTATCCCTTCCCACTGTTCAGATATTGTTCCAATTTTAGAGCAGTCACGTATTTGTTCTTTTCTTTAAAAAAAGTTAAATCAATATCCAGTTCTTGCATTAACCAATAAGGAATAGGTAGTTGAATTGTGTACTGTGTCTTCTTGCATCATTCTCAATTCTCTTGGCCACTGATTTATGCATTCAAAAAATGATTTGTTTCTGATCTTTCTTCAATGCTTGCATAAGGCACCTAGCTGG